TTTTTTTTCTTGCGCTGTATAGTTATTTCGCAAGATGTAGCTTAGATATATGGTATATTATATCGAACAATTTATATGCTTTTGAAACTGACACAGTTTAACCGAACTCTTTTCCATGTAAGAGTTATCTCCCCGAACACTGTTTTCCTTGTGTGGATCTACTCCTTTGCAACCATAAAAGATCCCAATTTGTTCATTACATCCTCAGGATGTTGAGAATGATTTTGACCGAAGCCATCCAGAGACTCTATATGAGAGTTATTTCCCTTGATGTATTTGATACAAGTAACATACAATTGTAACTGGTAAACCATAAGTGATAGTGACCTAGGTTCTTTTGATTTGATGTCCTATGTCAACCAAAAAGAAAATAAGTCAAAGTCAAAAGTCAAGTTCCTGTTCTTAATTTTGACATTGACTTCATATCGCTTCTTCTCAGAAGGATTTATAGATATCATCAAAACAATTTAACCAAAATGATAGTCGCGACATGTCATAACTGGAAATGTTTTGTCAAAATGATACGCGTCATTTTATTGCTGGGTCAATGCCCCTGAAATTGTCAAATCAACAAATCTGTTGATGATAAAATTAAAACTTAAAACTTTGCAGCTGTCAAGTTGTGCATGTATCTCATCTCAATTATCAACCAGAGTCCACCACTAATACCCCCTCCCCCTCCCCCTCCCCCAGGCCCACTTCCAGGATTTTTTTTAGGAATCTATTGAAAAGGAAATCGCCTCCTGTCCCGTAAATTTAACTGTAAAAATGCAATCCGACTGAGGTACAAACTTCTGAAATAGAAATCCATCGCTGCAAAAATCTGCTCCATTTCATGTATTTCTGAAAATAATCTATAGACTTTTTGTTGAAGTACTATAACAAGAGCATTTTTTTCTGTGTGTGTGTGTGCAATGAATGAAGACTCGCGATTATGATTAGACATCAGTTTACCTATAAAATGAACCAAGAAAATATATTCCCGTTAGCACTAGTCTGGATTGAGAAACTAAAATCAATGACATAGTATTCCCTCCGGAGTTCGTAAACATTAGAGAAATCCTACAATGAAATTTCTAAACATGCATTAAAAAACAAATCTTTGCATCCGTAAAACCTGTTGAAATATGTATATTTTCTGAAAATAATCGATAAACGTGCTGTTGAATTCTACAAGAAACATATAAACATATATACCATAAAGCATGCATAATCAATCATCAATTGCCTGTAGAAAATAAAATCAAGTTATCGTGTTACTCTAATTATATACATGTGGTCTGTTCAACGGTCTCCCCCAAAAAGAGCTAATATAAATGAACAACGTGACGTCACAAACACCATCGCGCTCGCGGACCCTAAGTTCTACAACCAAATATAGAAAATGAAACTTCCAAGACAAAATGTTAACTAAGTTTTCCTACAAATTCAAACTAAATGCACACACAACAAATAAATAAAACATGAAGTCTGAGTTTCAGTAGAAAATAGAGATAATTCATAAAAAGGAAGATGCAATTATTATTTTTATTAAGACATTCCTGGAGTCCGTTTGGCTGTGACAGAAATGTAAATACGCAGCCACGTTCGGCAGGAATGGGGACATTAAGTAGAGAGTGCCATGTGAAATTTAAATCGATGAATAAGTTTATCAATCAATTAATCAATCAACCAATCAATCAATCAGTCAATCAATCAATCAACCAACCAACCTCCAAACCAACAAACCAATCAATCATGTCTAATGTGTGTAATAGGGTATCTAGGCTAACAAGTCCCTTTTTGCTTGGGCCTAGAGGCCCGGTCCCATGTGTTGAATCAGTCAACGAACCAATCAATCAATCAAACATGTTTCGAAGGGGAAAGACCGTTTATAATTGTTTTTAATACAATTGATTTATATTTCATTTTGTTTTGTTTAATATTCTACTTAAGAAACATCTGCTTAGTATTGGCAGGGGTCGTAAAGCATATTCATAGCTATTTAAATGTTCCAATTGGTCACAGTTTGGTAGCAATAGCCCGTATGTAGACATAACGCACGTTTTTGGTACCGCCTGGTATCTAAAATGAGTTTCTACACGTATTTTTTTCAGAATTGTTTCATTGACAATTTTAATATTTGTTCATGTTTTAATATTTTCATTTAATCGATATTTACTAGACAGTGTCTGCTTACTCTTCCAGATCACCTGATATCACACTCAGTTTTTCGTGGGGTTGGCGTTGATCAGTCTTTATTTTTCTCTGTTGTGTTTTCTATACTTTTGTTTTTTTTTGGTCGTATTTCGTTTTTTTTTCATGTCATTGTCAGTTCGAGTTTGAATATCCCATTGGTATCTTTTGTTTTCTTTAACTAACAGTTGGAGTCATACATCTCAAAGCTATAATAATTGTAGCATTTACCCAAAATAAGGTAGAAATTGATCAATCCTTAAGATTAATTTTCAGATTTTTTTCATTGAATTTCTAATTTTATATACCTTAAGTGAGGCTGACAGTCACGTTTGATGACGGTTGGGTCTACAACTATATTTTCGGAAAGGTCATCAAATATATGGTGTTTTTTTTGCAACTAGTTTCAAACAAGATTTTTCAATTTGTTTAATGATTTTGTAATGTCTGATCTTCTTGTAAAATAATGCGGTAGTGGTAAAGTCTCGTGGTTGTTGGGGTCTATAATCATAATTCTCAAAGGTAATAATCAATGTAGCATGAAGAAAAATTCAGGTAGTAGTTATGGCATAAAGAAGGATTCTCAGCATTTCTGATTGCCTATAGTGAATGTCAGGTAGTAAAGAAAATGACATGATGGTGATGGACACCTAGAATGACAAGAATTTGTTATGGTGGTTAATTTTAACACATTGTCGATTTATCATTGCGTCATTTGCATGCTTAAATATGACCAGGTTACGTCTTCAGGACGAATTCTATTCCTCTGTAATTCTGAACAATAAGTCATTAATTTTGGTATGAGGATTGGTTGGGAGGTTTATACGCCGTCTAACACCTCATTATGCAATAACCTCATCAACACTTCAATTGTAACGTTTAGTTTTCAAGATGGTCAATAATTTTTATATGTGGATTGTTTGCGAGGAGTATATGTCCGTTTGACATTTGTCATTAACCATTGACCTATATATTTTTTGCACTAATTCTTAGGTAAAATTAAAGATGGTGTTTGTTCTGCATTATGATTGATTGATAGTTGTTTGTTTTACTTCCAGTGGCAATGTTCCATAATGATATTACCTGATAAGTCAACAATATGACGTATGTGGATTGGTTACGAAAGAAAATGTTTATCTTATATATGCCATATTAGACAAACATTTATCAAAATCTTTTATTGAGTTTTACAAATCAATATTATTACAATTAGACGAATAAAGTTAATAAGTGAACATTCAATTAAATGAAATTAAATATTCATTTAAAAGTCTATCTGAATCATAATACGTTTGTTCAATGTCCTTGTACAATTTATGGTATCCTGTATGAGCCCTAGCTCCCTCGTGTACAGACTTAAGTATTTCAAATATCTTATCAACTGTAACAACTTTTTTTCCAATTGGCAAGATTCCCATCCTACTAGATTCCTACAGAAAAAAAAAACTCAATTAAAAAAGGGAAAGAAAATAAAATCATAAATTATACAAAGAAAGTAACATAATCTTATTAAAAGAGAAGGTTTAAAAGAACTAAAATAAAGAATAGTAGTTTAAGTTGGTTCCCCCTTTTGATTATAACTAGTTTGATCAATAAAAATCGGTTCGAAATTGGATGATGATGATGAAGCGGATGATGCTGATGATAATGGATGGTTGCTTAACGTCAGGTGACAGGTCAGATGCATATTTAGGACGCTAACCATTGCACCACCGAGGCGGTCTGGTACGAAATTGAATATTGGGATAATAGGGGAAATCACAAGAAGGACAACAATAAGTCTGGCGCAAATACAAAATTTCAATCCTGGTATCTATGATGAGTTTATTTACAACCACTGGGTCGATGCCTCTGCTGGTGGAGTTTTTATTCCCCGAGGGAATGAATTATTATCATTGATATGGTCATAATTATAAATTAACTTTTTTTTTAAAACTTTGAATGTATGAAATACTAAGGTTTTTCTACCTCAGGAAGAAATTACCTTATCTGTATTTGGCAAAACTTTTAGGAATTGTTGGTCCTCAATGCTCTTCAACTTTTTACTTTATTTGGCCTTTTTAACCTTTTTTGATTCCAGTGTCACTGATGTGTCTTTTGCAGACATTACGCGCGTCTGGCACAAATACAAAATTTCAATCCTGGTATCGATGATGAGTTTATTGATAAAGTAATATGTAATGTAAACTAAATAAGAATAGTTCTCACCTCATATGCGGGAATGCAGCGTTAATTTCCCATCCCATGACTCAATCTATAGTTTTTCTCACGACTAAGTAGAACTGAAATAAACTGAAAAAGATATTTTTGATCGAGAACGATCTCAAAACACTGAATAATGAATATGTATGTGCTGTACATGTCGAGACTCTCAGTCAATTTGAATAGATCTCGACGTCGATAGATTCAGTACTATTCAGAGACTTTGCCTGTCTCAAAACACTAAACAATTATATTGGTTGCCTGTTTCAACTATGCAAATTCCCTTCAAACTCAGGACAATTAATCAATGCGAATGTCTTTTCCTTAACATTTTGTCGGAATCTCGCTGAATCATTTATCAAAATATTTTTAATTCTATCAGTCTTCTCACAGGTAAACAGCTGGTTTGAAGATTTGTAGTAAAGTTCCTAAATATTCTAAAAACTTTTCTTCCCACATATGTTTACTTCCGATAACTTCAATTTTAGTGAGCATAATTCATTTTTTTACGCGTACGGTCCAAATACTCATATGGTCTGGAGCAGAGACATTCTATCAATTAATAATAGTTGCATGGTGTTTATGAATATTGCCTTATAGTCTTTCTTTATATCTATCTTCAGTTATGTTGCTATCGGTCAAGGAAAAAGTGGCGGAATTGATGACTTGGGTCCAGTGAATTGGAAACTAGTATTATGTTATTTGGCAGCATTCATATTTGTTGTTTTGACCCTCAGTCAAAGTATTAAGACATCAGGAAAGGTAATATAACGTTGTTGTCTGCAAATACTTTTGGATTTAACTGAATAGATATTATGTTTAGCTTTATTAATGAACATGGGTGAGAACGGGTTAGTGAACGTATAGTAGTTTTTTTTTTATTCTAAGTCTGCGAAAAATTTCACAAAAAGTCTTACGAGAAAAAAACACTACTAAATCATGAACATTTCAGTATAACTTACGATCAATTTTTGTCGTAAGACTTGTTGTGAAAAGTGCCCCTGTGGACTGTGCATGTTTAGTTTGCAATCTTGAGGCAAACGAGTGAGACATCCCATGACTCAATCTATAGTTTTATTCACGACTAAGTAGAACTGAAATAAACTGAAAAAGATCTTTTTGATCGAGAACGATCTCAAAACACTGAATAATGAACATGTATGTGCTGTACATGTCGAGACTCTCAGACAATTTGAATAGACCTCGACGTCGATAAATTCAGTACTATTCAGAGACTTTGCCTGTCTCAAAACACTAAACAATTTTATTGGTTGCCTGTTTCAACTATGCAAATCCCCTTTACAAAAATATGGCAAGATAGGAATTTTTCGATTCAAAGTGTTTAAGCCAAGAGAGATAACTCAAATTTATTTTTGTTCCTATCATGGAATAAATAACACTTTACTTTTATAGTCTGTTTCTTGAAATTAGTTTCAGAAAAGAATAAAAGAAAGTTACATTTTATTGATGTTTTATTGTTTTATATAATCAAGAAATATCTAAACATGTATTTAGTCTCTGATGCATGATTTTTTATTATAAATTGTTTTTGGCTTTAAACTAGCTTTCATTAACTGCGAGTACTTTCGTGTATTTGACCTGTTGATACAATTTGTAATGTATTTTTGTTTTTTAATGTTTACTTATTTAGTGTTATATCTCGTCTCACTATTTTTAATATTTACCTCTTTTGATAAGTGTTTAGTATGACGATAAATTTTCACTTCTGTTCTCGTACTATGAAAAACATAATTATTTATTTTGTAATAAGTTTTTCCGTACTCCACGTATACCTTACAACAAAATTATTTTTATTAACCTGTGCACGTTATTTTATTTGGCGGCATTTTGTCCAAGGTTATGGTTGTCTTTCTGATATTGTTTTACATCTAACCACCTTGTTTTATTAATTTTGTATTTACATTGTGTCATAGATCAAACTTATTCAGTAGTGGGGGAAGTGGAGGTTCTGGCGACTTTTTGTTAGTGTTAACCCTATGGGGAAAAGGTAGCCTCCTGAGAGGTAGCCTCCCGATGTGAGGCTATTTCTATGACGACATTTTTAGGTATTATGATATTAATTAATTAAATTAATTATTTTCTTTGGAGGATAAACTCATTATAAAGTGTTACTAATTACGTTTGTGTTAATTATGCATAAGTATATGATTTTTATTTTTATTTTAATTTGATATATGAAAATCCCCAGTCTATTAATAGATATACAGGTAAACCCATCTAAGTGTGTATCAAATATATATTTGTTTGTTTATATATCTATTCACCTACGGCTGTGAAGAATAAGACGTACACGTTATTATATAAATAATATAATCGTTAAATCAATATTGAAAGCGTGTTTTAACTTGTCGTTATTGTACGTAGTGACCTTTAACATGTTTAGACGTGTCAATAATCCGATTTAGATTAGTCGCCATGTTGAAAATATAATTGTAAACATGATCGCGTCGGTCTTTTTAATATAAGTAAATCGTTACATTAATGCAACAAAATAGTATTTTACATCTAACTATTTCTGGGGTGAAATTTTGAAAGGTATTTAATCTCGAATTTTATAATATAATTGTTCAATCAATATCGATAGCGTGTTTTAACTTTCAATGGGTTTTATTGATAAACGATGCACCGGTGTTTATCATTGTTAGTGTTTGTGTATGTTTGTGTGTATGTGTGTGTGTTTGTGTGTATGTGTGTGTGTTTGTGTGTATCGATTCAAGGTTTAATCCATACAAATATGAGCAAGGAATTATCCAATATGATTCTCCTTTTGTGTGATTGTATTCCTATTTTTTTTTAAGTTTCTGCTTCTCGGTACCACACTAGTAATGATAACAACAATAATTTGTACAATATTTAATATCCCCGTCAATTCAGACAGACATGGGTCGGGGAGCCATCCAAATGTTGTCTTTACAAATATATAAAGAATAAAATTATCTATAATTATTTTATACATCGAGATAAAAAGAAATAGAGAGTTGCATATCACTCAACAGTATCTCTAACCTCACGAAAGGGCCAACAGTATGCTATATTTAGTGCAGGGGTGTAAACTGTCGAGACTTGAAATTAGTCTTTCCGGGATAGTTAACTCTCTCAAATATCAGATAAACCGCGAGCTTTAATCCAAGAGTTGAATTTCTTTGGCCAGTGTAACCATTTAACATAATATTGCTTGTTGGGTCCTTTGCCTTTTGTTTTGAGGATTTTTCAACTTTCCATATATCGTCTTCCCGAACATCCACTTTCTGCACTTCTGATTGGTAGAAGGTTCCTGAAATTTCTTCGTCTTAAAAATCAATAAGTCGATAAACTGGAAGCCCACCACCTAATATTCTTTGAGATATTCTAAATATCTCTCCGCTCCATTTCTCATCGTATTCCCTGGTAAAAGGATTTCTTATGTATGTAATCCGAACTTTATCACCGATTTTGAAACGGAAAGGTTTTCGTACATTCTTTGTCTTAGGTTGTAATCTTTTTGGCCAATACATTTTCCACCACAGGTTTGTCTCTTTAGATAGGGTGACTTTATCTGGTGCCATGCCAATCGCTCTATGGAAGGTCTTGTTGTAGCTGTTAGCAAAATTCTGTAAGTTATCCACATAGTCATATGACTGCTTACTGGTGATAAATCTCATAATTTTTGATTTAATAGTCTTGATCACTCTTTCAACGTAATTAGCTTTGATTTCCGTATTTTGTGCAAATAGATGTTGAATATTTCTCTGTTTAAGGAGAGATTCTACTAATCGTGATCTGAATTCTTGTCCTTTATCTGTTCTTATTCTGTTTGGAGATCTTCCTTGTGATAAAACATGTTTCAAAGCATTCGCCACGGATTCACCTTTCTTATTCTTTAAAGGTCTTAGCCATACATATTTGGAAAATATGTCAATCACCACCAATATGAAATTAAATCCACTGTTACATTTCGAAAATTTAGATATGTCCATTAAATCGACATCCCATTGGTCGTCTATTCCAATAACGATAACTCTGTTCCGCTTAAACGACCTTTTAAGGGTCTTTGTAAACTGTATGGTTCCTGTCGTTGTAGCCATTTTCGTATTCTATATTTACTGAGAACGAATTTTCCATCTGATCGAACAAATCTGTAAAGTTTATCAGGCCCTGTAAAACTCGCTGGGTTAGCTGGATTGTAATAAATATTTCTCAAGTACTTTTCCCAAGAGGCCATCTTTACACATGGGATGATGACTATAGAATGATATACAGAGTAAAACGATCTCATATTTATATAGTTCAGCTTTCATCGTCTACATCTTCTTCATCCTCCTCTTCCACCTCTTCCTCTCCATCATCATCAATGCTATCTTCGCTTTCAGAACCATCACCATTTGTTTCGTTATCAATAGCTTCATCTAGATAGCTTTCCAACAAAGGTTTATATTTCCTGACGGCTAATTTAATGGCTTTCTCGTAGTCCATGTCATCGTTAATTAGTTTTGTAATCGTTTTCATGACTTTGCCTTGCAATTTGCCATTTTGTAGTTGTAGTAGATACTCAACCAAACTACTATATCTGGACAAAAACTGATCCATATCCTCGTGTTTTAGTTATCCACCGCCGCCGCCGCCACCACCACCTCCGCCGCCTCCGCCACCACCACCACCACCGCCGCCACCGCCGCCGCCACAGAATGTGGAACTACATCATCCATTCACTATGATGTTGGCTGGACCTACTGGTTCAGGTAAGACGTTTTCGATGAAAACATTATTGAAGCGAGCACGGACTATGATAAAACCATCACCTAAGAGGATTATATGGTGTTATAAACGGTGGCAGCCATTATTTTGTGAAATGCAACAAACCATTAAAAACATTTTGTTTGTTCAAGGTTTACCTGAAAATTTGAATGATGACTCATTCATTGACTCTAGATATCCAAGTTTAATAATCCTAGACGATTTAATGAGAGACGTCACCAATAGTAAGGATGTTTGTGAACTCTTTGTGGAGGGCATCAATCACAGGAACCTAAGTGTAGCTTGTATAATGCGAAATTCGTTCTCGAAGGGGAAGGAGAGTCGAACCATGAGCATCAATAGCCAGTATATAGTCCTTTTCAAAAACCCACGTGATCAAGTTGGGCCAGCCATATTTGCTAGACAGATGTATCCTAATAATCCAAAGAAATTCACGAATAAGTACAAAGAGGGGACACAACGACCATATGGGAGTCTATTTATTGATCTGAAACAGAATACACCGGAGGACGACAGACTAAAGCTTAATATATTTGAAAACAAGAACATGATAGGTGAAGGTGTTTCTGAAGAGTAAATTAGCAGAAAAGAACTAAAACCATCTCAGTTTGAAGAATCATTTCAAAGTGAGCAGACGTATTTACCAGACAAGAAAGAAATCATGCCTTTATGTGATGATTGTGGTGTAGTCTTTGAAAGCGTCCCTGATTTAGCTAGACACATGAATAGGTGGTGCCCGGAAAATAATGATTTAAAAAGAAAAAGGGAAAAAGAGGATGAAGACATTCCCATAAAGAAGTCTCGTGTAGACGAAATTGATATAGAAGATGGAGAAGATACGGCTTTTATAAGATTAGCTGAACTTGCAAGGGAGGCAAATGAAGATATATGGGAAGAAAAAGTTGATAAATACATGGATGGTAACATGAATGAAGACCATGCAAGACGTAAGGCCAATCGGAAACTAAAAGACGAGGATGTGGATCAGTTTTTGTCCAGATATAGTAGTTTGGTTGAGTATCTACTACAACTACAAAATGGCAAATTGCACGGCAAAGTCGTGAAAATGATTACAAAACTAATTAACGATGACATGGACTACGAGAAAGCCATTAAATTAGCCGTCAGGAAATATAAACATTTGTTGGAAAGCTATCTAGATGAAGCTATTGATAACGAAACAAATGGTGATGGTTCTGAAAGCGAAGATAGCATTGATGATGATGGAGAGGAAGAGGTGGAAGAGGAGGATGAAGAGGATGTAGACGATGAAAGCTGAACTATATAAATATGAGAACGTTTTACTCTGTATATCATTCTATAGTCATCATCCCATGTGTAAAGATGGCCTCTTGGGAAAAGTACTTGAGAAATATTTACTACAATCCAGCTAACCCAGCGAGTTTTGCAGGGCCTGATAAACTTTACAGATTTGTTCGATCAGATGGAAAATTCGTTCTCAGTAAATATAGAATACAAAAATGGCTACAACGACAGGAACCATACAGTTTACAAAGACCCTTTAAAAGGTCGTTTAAACGGGACAGAGTTATCGTTATTGGAATAGACGACCAATGGGATGTCGATTTAATGGACATGTCTAAATTTTCGAAATGTAACAGTGGATTTAATTTCATATTGGTGGTGATTGACATATTTTCCAAATATGTATGGCTGAGACTTTTAAAGAATAAGAAAGGTGAATCCTTGGCGAATGTTTTGAAGCATGTTTTATCACAAGGAAGATCTCCAAACAGAATAAGAACAGATAAAGGACAAGAATTCAGATCACGATTAGTAGAATCTCTCCTTAAACAGAGAAATATTCAACATCTATTTGCACAAAATACGGAAATCAAAGCTAATTACGTTGAAAGAGTGATCAAGACTATCAAATAAAATATTATGATATTTATCACCAGTAAGCAGTCATATGACTATGTGGATAACTTACAGAATTTTGCTAACAGCTACAACAAGACCTTCCATAGAGCGATTGGCATGGCACCAGATAAAGTCACCCTAGCTAAAGAGACAAACCTGTGGTGGAAAATGTATTGGCCAAAAAGATTACAACCTAAGACAAAGAATGTACGAAAACCTTTCCGTTTCAAAATCGGTGATAAAGTTCGGATTACATACATAAGAAATCCTTTTACCAGGGAATACGATGAGAAATGGAGCGGAGAGATATTTAGAATATCTCAAAGAATATTACATGGTGGGCTTCCAGTTTATCGACTTATTGATTTTCAAGACGAAGAAATTTCAGGAACCTTCTACCAATCAGAAGTGCAGAAAGTGGATGTTCGGGAAGACGATATGTGGAAAGTTGAAAACATCCTCAAAACAAAAGGCAAAGGACCCAACAAGCAATATTATGTTAAATGGTTACACTGGCCAAAGAAATTCAACTCTTGGATTAAAGCTCGCGATTTATCTGATATTTGAGAGAGTTAACTATCCTGGAAAGACTAACTTCAAGTCTCGACAGTTTACACCCCTGCACGAAATATAGCATACTGTTGGCCCTTTCGTGAGGTTAGAGATACTGTTGAGTGATATGCAACTCTATATTTCTTTTTATCTCGATGTATAAAATAATTATAGATAATTTTATTCTTTATATATATTGTAAAGACAACATTTGGATGGCTCCCCGACCCATGTCTGTCTGAATTGACGGGGATATTAAATATTGTACAAATTATTGTTGTTATCATTACTAGTGTGGTACCGAGAAGGAGAAACTTAAAACAAAAAAAAGGAATACAATCACACAAAAGGAGAATCATATTGGATAATTCCTTGCTCATATTTGTATGGATTAAACCTTGAATCGATACACACAAACACACACACATACACACAAACATACACAATCACTAACAATGATAAACACCGGTGCATCGTTTATCAATAAAACCTATTGAAAGTTAAAACACGCTATCGATATTGATTGAACAATTATATTATAAAATTCGAGATTAAATACCCTTTCAAAATTTCACCCCAGAAATAGTTAGATGTATAATACTATTTTGTTCCATTTATGTAACGATTTACTTATATTACCGACGCGATCATGTTTACAATTATATTTTCAACATGGCGACTAATCTAAATCGGATTATTGACACGTCTAAACATGTTAAAGGTCACTACGTACAATAACGACAAGTTAAAACACGCTTTCAATATTGATTTAACGATTATATTATTTATATAATAACGTGTACGTCTTATTCTTCACAGCCGTAGGTGAATAAATATATAAACAAACAAATATATATTTGATACACACTTAGATTGGTTTATCTGTATATCTATTAATAGACTGGGGATTTTCATATATCAAATTAGAATAAAAATAAAAATCATATACTTATGCATAATTAACACAAACGTAATTAGTAACACTTTATAATGAGTTTATCCTCCAAAGAAAATAATTAATTTAATTAATTAATGTCATAATACCTAAAAATGTCGTCATAGAAATAGCCTCACATCAGGAGGCTACCTCTCAGGAGGCTACCTTTTCCCCATAGGGTTAACACTAGCAAAAAGTCGCCAGAAACCCCACTTCCCCCACTACTTTATTCGTTCAGTGTATGTTCACTTGTTTGTGTTAATATGTCTTTTGATTGAGTTAAGCCATTGCAATTGATATTTTATAGTGTGTCTTTCTATGTTGTGATGTTTTACACTATTCATTTTTGGGGCCCTTTATAGCTTGCTGTTCGGTGTGAGCCAAGGCTCCGTATTGAAGGCCGTACTTTGACCTTTAATGGTTTACTTTTACAAATTGTGACTTGGATGGAGAGTTGTCTCATTGGCACTCATACCATATCTTCTTAAATCTATTTATCAAATTTTAATTATTTTTTTAGAGGCAAAAATATGTAATCTATCGCTAATTTTTGTATGAATAATTAATATGCAGTAGAATTTTATTACATCAGTAAAGCCTTACTGTCTTGTGCTAGTATGATATAGTATTTTCTAATGCACTTTGTTTAAACAAACATCAGGAGCCTGTAATTAAGTGGTTGTCGGGTGTTGTTGTATATCATATTTGCATTTCGTTTATTGTTTTGTTCATAAATCAGGCTAGTTCGTTTTTTCGTTTGAATTGTTTTACATTTGTCAATTCATGGCCTTTTATAGCGTACAATGCGGTATGTGTTCCGCTCATTGTTGAATGCGGTACGGTGGCCTATAGTTGTTAACTTTACATTATTTAGTCTCTGGTGGAGAATTGTTTCATTGGTAATCATACCACATCTTCTTATCAAACTAAATCTGCTAAAATGCTCCAGCTATTTTGAAACCATATGAACATAATTTAGCACATGCAATTATGTACACTTTCCTTATTGAATACAAATAACAAACAGTGTTTGCCACGCACTGAATTGCGCAGTGACAACCTCAAACTTTATGATCAAATACAAAATATTTATATAGTATTTAAGGTTATCATAAAATCAACTTATATTTTCATATATGTGATCTCAGACCTCGCCTCGAAGCTGTCCTGGTATGATCTTAGCAAAGATATCCTAAACCTGTCACAAGTTCTTTAAATTTTTAAATATTAACATGGATTTATGGAAAAATTCATGTAAATATAGTATGTGTTTCCCATAAATTACTAAACGTATTGATTGATATTCCATAATAAGATAATTTGCAAAATCAATATAAAAATAAGTGTAATTTATAAAAAAAAGTCTATTAATAATACACCAATATATACATAATGGAGAGAAAAAAAGAATAAAATGATAACAATTATTTTTGTACAAGTGAGTTGAATTTAATTTATCACTGTATCGGTTATAATAAGGTTAATCGTGCATTCTTGCTAAAAATACATCGAATGTTCATTGTCGATAAATCATTTTGATAATTCGTCAACCTATGAAGATTAGTTATGAGCAGGACAAGAAGTCCCAATTTCACAGAATCAGAGCTTCAAACTCTTTTGGATATCCCAAGACCATCATAAGACACCTCTTGTGTAGTCCTAACTTTATGACCAACTTTAAGAGATGTCCTAAGTAAGAACCACTTTGTGAAACCCATTAAGAACTAAGATAATGTCGTAAGACCATCCTAAGACATGTCTTAGTCCTAAGACACCTTTGTGAAACTGGCCCCAAATTTTTAAAAGTATGCAATGATAATGATGGTTGTATCAGATATTTAAATGTGTTTCACTCAAATATGTACTTTATTCGAGTATCCGATAACTGTTCTGTAGTCAATACTTGGATCTTCGCAGCAATACGCGATCATGAATTGTCTGTTGCAAGACATACTAAAGATCCTTTACCGCGTCATTTGATTGGACATTTTGACACAGAATGGTAGATTCTTGAGCTTGTAAAATTCACTTTGTCATGTGTACATACAGATTCATATTGTACAAAAAGGGTCAAATGCACAAATTACATAACTCAAGCTACTGTATATTTTAGGTGGTGTATTTTACAGCTACTTTTCCATATGTAGTATTGATTATCCTATTTGTGAGAGGACTGACCCTAGATGGTTTTAGAGATGGTATTGACTTCTACATAACACCAGACTTAGGGAGACTCCGTGATTCTCAGGTAAATAGATGTCCGTCAAGATACACTAACATAGTAGAAAACTCGAGTTGACCTACGCGAATCTGTATGATATATTTACCGTTGTGCATATAGAAGATCATTTGTCATCTCGACAATGTTTGCGGATTTTTTAGTTCTGGAGTTATTGGACACTTATCGATGTAAATCGAGAATTTCTTATTTGTCTCACAAAAACGCTTGAGTTCCTCAATTGCTCTTTCCAAAACCTGTTTTGCTTTTTTAACCCGAGGGTTTCTTATCGTCAAGGTGCAAGTTGCGAGTTGAAAACGCCGAGTTGCGAGTTAAGAAAGTTGAGTTGCGAGTTACGAAGATCGAGTTGCGAGTTACGAAGGTCGAGTTGCGAGTTACAAAAATATTATGGTTCTCTAATTTTTTAAGAAATATATATATATTTAAACGGTCGTGTCGTCTGATTTTTGAAACAGAATTTTCAGGTCTACTTCGCATTTTTAATAAACGAAGCATACATGTACCCGAACTTAGTTATACACTGCGTGAAGGAAGGGTCTCGGTATTTTGATTGTAGGATTTGAATGAGTTATGTGATACTTATTTATAAGAGTATATATGTTGCAAAGTCACGCACGTTAAAATTTCTTTCATGAGAGCGACATTATTCATTTTCTAAAATAGAATAGGATATACTGTAGATATAAGACAAAATGTATACCGTACTGAACAAATCAAGCATTAGAACTGAAGAGGTTCCTGACTTAGGACAGACGCAAAAATGCGGCGGGGCTAAACAGGTTTTATGAGCGCTCAACCTTCCCCCTTCACCTCTAGCCAATGTAGACATATATAACTTAAACGTTCAAAATTTTGATTGTCACTGCCAAAGAATAAATTTGGGGGTCCCTAACAAATATTGCATCTGCAACTGCCCCAAAGAGCCCACTCTTAACGAAATCTGCAGAAGGGGTCTTTTACATATATGTACTATAGTTTAGTTGCTATCTCCCTTTACGTTTAATATGACAGTGGAAGCTATGAAATTTAATAATAATTAAACTACAAGCCATCCCTTGTATTTCAAAAGGCTATCTGTTTCTTCAGAAAATAACCATACTTTGCGTAGTGATTATGTAATCAATCCATTTATTTTTTTTCACGAGACCCAGATGAAGTCCAAATAACAAAAAGAATCAACAATACTGTATACAATTCTATAAGCAATCATCCTTCAAAAATGGATAATGATAAAAAAAAATCATTCAAAAATGTTAAGGAGGTACACCAAAAAATTAAAATAGTTTTCCCCATTTTCACGCAACTCGACTTTGGTAGCTCGCAACTCGACTTTGGTAACTCGAAACTTGACTTTTGTAACTCGTAACTCGACTTTCGTAACTCGCAACTCGACTTTCGTAACTCGCAACTCGACTTTCGTAACTCGCAACTCGACTTTCGTAACTTTTGTAACTCGCAACTCAACCCCCTTGCACCGGAGGACAAATGTGTCAACACCGACTTTGCCGGAGGAATACATATTTCCTTTTGTTCCTTTTTAATATAAAACACCACAGATTACACTTATAGACCATTTGATTCTGAGGGGAGGGTGGGGGCCTGGCAAATTTGATGCGGTCAGAATATTTATTTCCAACATAAAGGTGGACAGATTATTTATTTTTACTCCGACCAGGGCCAGAATATTTATTTTCTGCTCATCCGCAAATTGACACAAAAACTGCCCCTCCTTAGCCCCCCCCCCCCCCCTCAAAATCAACTTTTCGCCCCTAAAGTAATTTAACTTTTGTGACACAGATCACCTATTTGTAGGATACACATACAACTTTAAACAAATAGAGCAGTCAACATGAAGTCTAGAATATAATTTATATTCTATTTATATGAAAATATAATAGTCTACAATCAAGGGTGGATCCAGGGTACACGGATAGAGAGGTGTTGTTGTCCAAAATGGTAAAATTTCTGGCGAGCGTAGCAAAATAACACTGACAATACTTCTGTAAAAAAAAAATCGATTTTATAAATTGCATGTGTCCGACAATATAAAAATAAGGAAATCTGGTATGATTGCCTATGAAACAAATATCCACAACAGTTCAAATGAAGTGGATGTAACCAATTATAGGCAACCGTACGGCCTTCAACAATGAGAAAATCCCATACCATTTAATCGGCTATAAAAGGCCCCAAAATGAAAAATATGAAACAATTCAATTGAGAAAACTAACGACTTAATTTATAACAAAACAATTTACTAAAAACAAATATGACAGACATGAACCAACGAGAACAAATGAACTGTAGGCTCCTAACTTGGGACAAGCACATATAGCATGTGGCGAGCTTGAACATGTTTGCGGGAGCCCAACCCTAGCTCCTTCTAACCTGGGACAGTGGTGTAACAGCACAACATATAAACAAACTATAAAAATCAGTTGAAAAGGGCTTAACTCATCAGATCGATACAAAGCAAAAAAACAAGAGAAAAAAAAACGTAGACCGGATGTGGCAGGGTATTTATACATCCACAACGCAAAAAAGACGCTAAGTACAGATCTGAGAGTACTCACAGTTACTGACAGCTACATGTAATTCAAAGTATTTAAAGTCAATAACAACTAATAAAAAAATCATGTATCTAAGACTAAAATATCAATCAGTACACATTCAACATCCAATGGATTTAGTGTAAAGACGTCATTAACAGTCAGAGAAAACATGACCTTGTGCAATGCCAAATTACAGGTATCAACAGATTGTGCATATGTATAAAACAATAATATTTGTTAGTTTGGTTTTAATTTACTGATAACAAAATCTATATTTATACCAATAAAACAATATTCAGAGATATAATTACAGTCTTGAATTGGTAACCTTTTAGAATAAGTTTTTTTTAAAGATTGACGAGTTTACCCAAATCGTATATAAATTTCCGGGCTCGTAAACAACATAAAAATAAAAATTAGTAAGTTTTCTACAGGTACAGCCAAATGCAAATTAAATCTTTGTATCTATGGAAGAATTTAGTAAAAGAGAGAGGACATATACCAAAGGGACACTGAAACTCATAAGTCGAAGATAAACTGACAACGCCATGTCTTAAAAAGAAAACGACCAACAGGCAAACAGACAAACAGACAAACAGACAATCAACAGTACGCAAAACACAACATAGAAAACAAAAAACTGAGCAACACGAAACCCACTAAAAACTGGCAGTAAAGGTTTAAAGTAATTTGTGGTAACGAAATCACTGACTTAATAACTTATCAGTAATAGATAGATTGCTCGAATTGAAATCCAAAACGTCATTACAGACACAGGCATAACTATTTTTGATTATCTGTAACTATTGGAAACCTTTTAAATTGTGGCGAGCGAAGCGAGCTAAAATTTTTGAACATATTGAATATTTGGGGCCAGAATATTTGTTTTCATGTGTGGTAAGGTAAGATTGTTTATTTTCACCTAAATGGAGGCCAGAATATTTATTTCCAAAATCTGCTTAGCCCCCCTCCCCCCTCAGAATCAAATGGTTGTCCCCTTAGGGCGTTACTTCCTATACCGCATGACGTCATTTGTCAAGCATCGTGACGCCACAGACATTCAGTTGCTTTATTTTCTGGCATACGTAGTGTAACCACATTGACTTATAAAATTTAGCTAATTACCGGCTGATTCACAGTATGTGATGTTTCTGCTCTTTGGTCGGGTTGTTGTCTCTTTGACGCATTCCCCGTTTCCATTCTCAATTTTATTAACAAGGAAGTTCACGATTCTTTTCAAACAACGCTTTGATTCATAATGTCAAGTATTCTTGGTTAAAACCCTTTCAGTTGGAAAGCATGTCACGATTTGACGTCAAGTCTATCAGCAACAACAGAGTCACGTAAATTCGGTAAAACTACGGATTAGACGAGCATCATTTTGTCTCCTTTATATACGGATGTCATCAAAATTTTATGATCAAAATAATATATTGAGTATATATGTTTTTCACTCGTCACAACTTACACAACTTACTCATCCTTCTGTCTTAATTTTATCGCCAAACCTGAAGTTTTTGAGAAAATTGTCAAGTGTACTGAGGAAATTAAAAATGAATGTGTGAATTTAGATTTAATAGAGCATCTCATATAAGTTAAGCCCTCGGTATGAATATCAAGGTAATAGATTGGATACGAAAACGTCAAGTTATTTTTAACAGGAAGCGATGGTATTCTTGCCAATTTGTGCAAGTGGTTAAATCCCCAGATATCCCCAATTGAAAATTAGAAATCTAACAAAATCAACATAAGAATCTTACATCACAAAATTTAGGACAAAACTAACTGAAATTTGATTTTCAACTATATAATTATTATAAGACAAAGAGGATGTCCCTCCTTTTCAAAGGAAAATTACAGGGCAAGATTAAAACTCAGAAATGTCTACTTGAAAACAAATAGAATTAATTCAAATTAGCTCTGATTGATGATATTCTAACTGCAATCATTTTTTATTGAGATAAATGAATACCAGAAAACATTTTGAACAATAAAATTCTCCTTAAATTCCTTTGATCATTGACATTTCAACTTCTGAAGAGTATGACCCAAAGTCACATTAGTATTTTGTATCATTAAAAAGCCCTGTTTTGAGTTGAACAGTAGATACTGCAATACTGGACAGTATCCTACAGGAAAAGCGTAGATACATACAACATATATTGTAGAATAATTTATGCAGGTCACTTAGAAATGGAAAGTCCAAAAAATTATACATAATAGCCATTTGGCAAATTTTTCATTAAATGACATATTTTCTTGTTTTTAAATGATTGTAAAACATTAGTTCGAATAACAGCCACTGCCAAATTTCATCAATATAATTTTTTTTTTTAAACCCACAGAATTAGGCTGCTACTCTTGAAGTTGCGGTGTCAACTGGTAAAAGTACTTTATACACTAACCTTAATGAATGGATATTTATCAGTAATAAGTGAAAAACTAGCTTATCAAGCC